TTGAACTTCATTTCAGACTTCGTTTTCACCTTCTCACTTTATGTTCCCCAGTAGCACAGGCTGTTTGCCCAGTTTCTACAACACAATTCTTTGGCTCCAGCTTTTCACAGCCTCCTCTAAGATCTTCATTCACTGCTCAGCGCCTGTGGCTCAAATGGCTAAGGCGCCAGCCACATACACCTAAGGTGGTGGGTTTAAATCCAGCCCGGGCCGCCAAAACAACAATGATGGCTGCAACCAAAAAATAGCCAGGCACTGTGGCGGGCGCCTGTGGTCCCAGCTACTTGGGAGGCTGAGGCAGGAGACTCGCTTGAGCCCAGGAGTTGGAGGTTGCTGTGAGCGTGATGTCACGGCACTCTACCCAGGGGGACAGCTTGAGGCTCTGTCTCAAAGATCTTCATTCACCTGTTCAGGAGACTTTTTAAAAAAAATTCTTGTGGCAAAGACAAGACTTTTTTTTCAGTTTTGTCATTTTGTCCTTATGACACAATCCTTCATATGCATCGAATTTGGTACCATGTTTTTGCATCTAATGCCTGCCTTTTTAAATTATAGTCTGAAAATCTGCACAAATTCCTTATAAATTAAGCCTTACTGTTTGCCTCAACAAGAAAAGTAGTCATCTATCCACTTCTCCATGAGATGTTATAGAAGCCATGGTGGGGTTAAAAAAATAATACTAGATAAGGGACTATATTTACTTTTATCATGGAAATTAATTGATAGGGAAATAGAGAGCAAAGTGTGGGCCCTTCCACATCTCGGCTACCAGTGCAGGGTGAGATGGAGGCCAGTGGATTGTAAGGTGTGGCAGGCGATGTGAGAGGCACCGTGAAGGTGTGGAAGTACCTTAATAACCAAGTAAGACACTTATCTGACTTCTAAATAACATTAAACACCTAATATTGCAATGGTAGATTGAAGTATTATTGATAATTGCTGCCAAGTTACCACCAGCTCACGTAGCATCGAATGGTGTCATGTCAGTTCAGCTGTCTGCTTGGAAGATAACTCACTAGAAGCCACACACTTTGTAAAACTGAAGCCACATGTGTGGGTGCATTACAAGGGTGTACGTATGTTTATTTCACATGGCCTTGAAACACAACGTTGTCATCTGTAAAATAGACACTGGAGAACTGTGTGATCAAATTCTACCAAAAAAAATCACTAAAAAACTCAAGTGTTTTCAGTAAGCTTATGATTTCATCTTGGACCACATTCACAGCCTAGTGGGCCGCTCTTGGCCCTTGGGCGGTGGGTTGGACACCCCTGATGTAGCAGATAGCCATTTCATCTTTACATGTCTACCCAGAAATGGCCTCTTGTGTGATCTGTGGGACTAGGATTTTATTAGGTGGTTGATGATTTAGTACAAGAAAGCCACTATAGTATTTTGGGAGAGGAAATAGAGAACAGATTTGAGAAGAGAGCATAACAGGACAGATGAAGTGGTCATAACTGAAAAAGCAGGGACTACCTACTGACCAGCACTTGTCAGGGAAGACTTCTGGTTTTTATGGAAACCATGTTAGACTTACATTTTATTTGAGGGAGCAAATATACAAGGGCTTTGAGATTAAGAGGACTCTGGTTTGGATGATTTCACTAAGTCTTCTAGTAAAACGCATGGAGGGTATTTTTGGTAGGAAGAAATCCTTGGTCTGTCTATCTATCTATCTATCTTTCTTTCTTTCTTTCTTTTTCTTTCTTTTTGAAAACTGAGTCTCACTTTGTGGCCCTGGGTAGAATGCTGTGGCATCACAGTTCATAGCAACCTCAAACTCCTGGGTTTAAGCAATCCTCCTGTCTCAGCTTCCCAAGTAGCTGGGACTACAGGTGCCTGCCACCACCCCCAGCTAATTTTTGTTTTGTTTTGTTTTGGTACATTTACTAAAGACAGGGTCTCACTTTTGCTCAGGCTGATCGTGAACTCCTGAGCTCAAGCGATCTGCCCGCCTCGGCCTCCCAGAGTGCTGGAATTATAGGTGTGAGCTACCACACCCAGCTTGATGGCGTTTCTTTAGAAGGCAGCTTATGCTAAACTCTACCACCAGGGCAGGTGGCATTTCTTTGTTTTTATTTGAAGGAGAAAGGAACAGAAGGCAATGATATTTGTGGAGGATAATTAGGAGTGAAGGGAGTCAGAACATGTATGGAGAAGGAAGAGAAACCTCGGCTATAGAGAAAGCCAAGCGTAGAAATGGAAAGCGGATCTTGAAATTTTGTCAGAGGCCAGAGCAGCAGCGGGGCAGCCGAGGTGCCGTGCTCAGTGCACAAGCCCCTGGCATCAGAAACACAGTTTTGTTTTCTCTCCTCTGTGCTGACTCAGTTGGCAACTCTGGCAAGTTTCTCAACATCGTCTCTGTTCCTCATTTTTCTTCTTGGGAGTGGCAGTCCTGATTCCTGCCTCCTAAGGATCCTGAGCCAGCCTGAGGGTCACATGACGGGGTGGGGGCGTTTTCGTTCCTGTTGCTTCTCGTGTGTGTGTTGTGTGGAGACATTTCTTATGCCTGGTGTTGCCAGTTTGTCTTCATAGCTCATCACCTGCTGAGGCTGAGACCTGCTCTGGGCATCTGCTGTTCCCACCCCGGGAACACGGTGGGAAACAGGCCCAGAACGGCTGTCCTCTAGCTGCTCAGAGACAGCCTTCAGCCATCACCCAGGCCTGTGTGACGTTGATGGAGAATAGTGGCTGAGAACATGCAGGAAGGCTCCTTCTGGGCCCAGTGCAGCCAGCATCCTTGCTTTCCTATTGAAGGAACGAAGCTGTGGCACAGACAGCTCATTAGTTCTTCAGCTTCTAATTTACAGGGAGCCTGGGCTGTGCCTATGCTCTGGGTGGTGGAAAGGGTTAGTGTCCAAAGCTGGTGGCCAGTCCCCTAGCAGGGGTAAGGTGAATGGAAGGCACCAGAGCGCAATAGCTCCTCTGCATGATGGGCAAACCACAGCAGCGGCTTCCTGAGTCAGGACCCGTGTGAGGGCTAAACCAGACCTGAACACAGGCTCTGGGGCAGCACCAGCCATAGCGCTCTCTGAATGTCCCCTACGAGTTATAAAGAGCCAGGCACGGTGGCTCACACCTGTAATCCCAGCACTCTGGGAGGCCAAGGCGGTTGTATTGCCTGAGCTCAGGAGTTCGAGACCAGCCTGAGCAAAAGCAAGACCCTGTCTCTAAAAATAACAGGGTGTTGTGGTGGGAGCCGATAGTCCCAGCTACTTAGGAGGCTGAGGCAGGAGGATCACAAGAGATTGAGGCTGGTGTGAGCTATGACACCGCAGTACTCTACCCAGGGTGACAAAGTGAGACTATGTCTCAAAAAAAAAAAGATGAATTTTAAAAGACGCCCTGCACATTTCTCTTTGGGTAAATGTAAAATGAGTGAGCCCAGCTGAGTGATCTCTAGAGGTCTGTGGGTTCAGAATGTCCCCCTCTGATTTCATTTCTCAATGGCTATGAACACTGAAAAACTACACTGTTGGTTTTTTCTCATTTTAATCCTTTCTAATCCAGCTTTTCTGCCACCCCAATACTCCTCCTTTGAGGAGGAAAGAGGTGGTGGATTCCGTGTAATTATCCTACAGGTTTTTTTGTTGTTGTTTTGGGATTTTTTGGTTAACCAGGCCCAGGCGAGGTTCTAACCTGCCACCCGTGGTGTGCAGGGCAGATGCTCTACCACTGAGCTACACCACCCAGATGGCTGCCCATCCTACAGTGTTTTGTTTGTTTGTTTGTTTTGAGACAGAGTCTCATTATGTCACCCTTGGTAGAGTGCCATGACATCACAGCTCACAGCAACCTCCAACTCTTGGGCTTAATCAATTCTCTTGCCTCAGCCTCCCAAGTAGCTGGGACTACAGGCACCTGCCACAATACCTAGCTATTTTTTGTTGTAGTTGTCATTGTTGTTTAGCTGGCCCGGGCTGGGCTTGAACCCACCACCCTCGGTGTATGTGGCTGGCACCGTAACCACTGTGCTATGGGCACTGAGCCCCTATCCTACAGTTTTAAAAGAGAAAACATAAATATGAATTCACTTGATGATTTTATTATATATTTTAATTTGCATGAAATAATTGAAATATTTTTGTCTGATATAGGATTAGAAGGAGTTATAAAATTATAATTTCTTGCCAGGCACGGTGGTTCACACCTGTAATTCCAGCACTCTGGGAGGCTGAGATGGGTGGATTGCTTGAACTCAGGAGTTAAAGACCAGCCTGAGAAAGAGCAAGACCCCATCTCTACTAAAAACAGCAGAATGAGCTGAACATGGTATCAGGTGCCTGTAGTCCCAGCTACTAGGGAGGCTGAGGCAGGAGGATCACTTGAGCCCAGGAGTTTGAGGTTGCTGTGAACTATGGTATTACAGCACTCTACCCAGGGTGACAGATTAAGACTCTGTCTCAAAAAAGAAATTATTATCTTTTTATATTTAAAAAATCTTTTTTAAAATGTGTACTGGTGATACGTAATTGCTAGCTACTGACTCCAACTCTCTTAATGCGGCCTGTCATGCAAATAGAGTTGAACGATGGTGATTTGCTGAGTGTGTGCTGTGTGCCCCTCACCCCGCCTTTTGCCATACACCCCCTCACTTGCTTATCACGTGATCATCTTGGGAAGGTGGTAATTCTTTCATTTTACAGATGAGAAAACTATACCTCAGTGAAGTTAAGAAACTTGCTCTGTCTCATAGCTGGCAGTCCAGATCCGGACGGGGACTGATGAGTTGTCTATCTCTCACTGTGTAACACTGTAACCACAAACTTAGTGGCTTGAAACACACATCTCACAGTTACTGTGGGTCAGGAATCCAGGGGTGGCATAGCTCTGTCCTCTGTCTGCCTCAGAGTATCACAAACCCTCAACTGCCTAGGGCTGCTGTCTCATCTGAGGTTCAGATGAGGAAGGGTCCATTTCCCAGTTCACATGGTTGTGGGCAAAATCTACCTCCTGAAGGTTGTCGAACCAAGGGTCTCAGTTTCTTGCTGGCTGTTGGCTGGAACCAGCTCTTAGTTCATTGTTACATGAGCCTTTCCCATACGGCTGCTTCCTTGTGCAAGGCCAGCAAAAGAGCGAGTCTCCTCACAAGACAAATTTCAGCATCATGGAATGTGACCTTGGACACGTCCTGCAGATTGCCCATCACCTCAGAGGTTTCCTGTGGGTGAGAAGCAGTCACTGATCCCACCCACATTCAACAGAGGATCCCAGAGTGAACCCCATGGAGTGAAGAAAATAGAGTAGCCCAGATCACACATCACACTGTAACCCCAGGGAAGATGCAGCTCTAGGAACCCAGGATGTCAGTATTGAAGGGGTCTGAGGTGGAGGAGGGATCAGAGCAGAATGGGGATGATCCCGGAAACTTGGAGAACGTCCAGTCTGCCTTGAACTGTAAGTGAAATGGTCAGTGTGGCCTGGAGGAGGGGACCAGTGTGGGCATGGCCAACAGAGCTGCAGTGAGGGGGGCACTCGGAGACCAGCACCCCCTGCCAGGTAGTGTAGACACAGCTGGCCCTTGCAGAGTGAGCATCCCTCACCTCTCAGCCTGGCTTTCTCTGGAGCTCCAAGACTAGAGTTAAAATCTGCTCGAGCCACTCCCACCTACATAGGAAGCGACATGATGAGTCCCTTGCGTTGCCTGTTTCTCCTTTTGTAAACACAGTCCAGGCCTGGGGACAGCCCAAGTGGCAGGAATGATGGCCTTGTGTTTCTCTCTCTCTGAACAGAAAGTGAAACAACTGACAGCGTGCCCAGTGATGAGGAGAACACCGAGGTAAGCTGGCCGCCACCCCTTGCCCATGCCGCTCACTCGCTGCTGGGGACAAGCTCAGGGGTGTCCTCACTGGGGGTCACGTGCCTTGACTTTCTTTGAGTTTCACTTTTGGAGTTTAGTTGTGTTGTAAAATATATGTCACTTAAAATTTACCGTGCTGTGGACATTTGGATTATAAAATCCAGTGCAGGGAACTGAGAGTAAATGTCACCACCAGGAGGGAGGCTGAGACGGCAGGAAAAGGGAATTGAAGTTGAGGCCAGGAAATGTTATGATTTTATCACCATAAACATCCTCATTTACAGGCAGACGTAGTTCATCCCTCACGGCCAGAAGCAGTGACCAGGAAGTCCCCCGCCTGTCCACGGAGCCCCTGCCCTTCACGTCCGGGTCCTGAGGCTGGTGTCAGGTCCAGCCCTGATCCCGAATGGGCCTGTTTCCCATTCTCTCTCTGGGCGGGGCCACACAGTGGCAGGAAGAGGCTGTAATGCTGACGGGAAGCGTCACCGCCTGCTCTGGCTCTTCTTGATGCCTGACAAAGGGAGGGAAAGGCAGACAGGGAAAGAGGCTCATGCTGGTTTGAAATGGTGGCTTCCCGGTGTCCTGAACCCTTTCCGGTAAAGTGCAGGAAGGGCAGTAGGTCCACATGCTCACATGTGTCCGGACCCTGTGTCTCCAAGGTCACAATTCTAGCCCCTTCTCTGAATGAAGCCAGCCGCTTGCTAGGTTCCCTGAAGCCCTGAGCCACCCCTGTTTGAACGCAGTCAAGGGGCACTCACTGTTTGTCACTAAGCTCCTTCCTTCCTTTAGTTGACACAAGACCTAAGTGGGCCAGCAGTGAGGCACCAAATCCCCATGACAGATGGGCCACTGTGGCCCGGCAGTGGTGGGGCAGAACCAAGCTGCTGCCTTCATGGAATAGTCTGGGCGGGATTTCTGAGAAGTAGCAAATGGGAATTGATTTTTTTTAAAAAGAGGGAAGAGAAACAGTTGCTTAGGGTATGAATATCTGGGCAAAGGCTTCAGCAGAGGAAGGTAGCGTTACCAAGTTCTGTTTATCCCGCAGTTCTTAAAGATTTCTGTGAAAGCACCAGCACACAGAAATTGCAGTGTGTTTTCGCACAGCCCATCTGGTGAAGGGAAAAGGACATTGATATCTTACTTATTTTCTGTGAAAGGGTCGGCCACACTGGTGGAAGAGGAACATTGAAGGCAAACAGTACCTCAGCAACACGGGGACGCAGAGCTCATGCCCGCTCCCAGGCATGGTGACCTTCGTCACTTCCAACAAGCCGGACCTCCAGGTCACCATCAAAAAGGAGAGCTATCCACTGCCTTACAACAGCTCCTGGCCCCCCTTCCCCGATCTCGCCATCCCTCCGCCCGTGACGCCAGCACCCAGCAGCAGTCGGCCAGACCGGGAGACCCGGGCCAGCGTCATTAAGAAGACATCGGACATCACCCAGGCCCGAGTCAAGAGCTGTTAAGCCTCTGACCTTTCCTGGTGGTTGTTGGGATTTCTTGGCTTTGTTTTGTGGTTTGTTTGTATTTTATTTTTATTTTTTTTTCTCTCCGACACCTATTTTAGATAAATCTAAGGGAAAAAAAAGCCTTGACAATAGAACACTCATTTAACTCAGGACTCCAGCCACTGATGGACGTGTGTTCCTAGAGCCTGCTGGACCTCCAGGGCTACTCCCTCGAGTTCAAGGACCAACACCCACATGGGCAGTGGAGGCACTGCGTTTGCCTGCGGGCAAGGCCGGCGTGATGGAGTGGATGCCTCAGAACGGATGAGAAAATGTGAACGAGCTGGAATTTTTTATTCTTGTGAATATGTACATAGGGCGGTCCTAGTGGCCTGCAGTCTGCTTCGCACCTTATCTCTAAGCACTTACAGATAGGCCTTCTCTCGATCTTGCTCTTTGTCACAGTGCAGCCAGCCTCCCCCTCTGCCCTGTGCCCCCACCCCATCCTGTCCAGGTCCCTTCCTCCTCTTCCTCCCCTCAGAGGCTCTGCTCTACATCCAGCGGGAGAAAAAGAAAATGAACTTCTCCACAGATGTCCCATTTTAAGACTGCTTTAAAAAGAGAGAGAGAGAGAATCTTTCTAATCTGCCATGCTTGAATGCCACGCGGTACAAAGGAAAAAACGATCATGGAAATATTATGCAAATTCCCAGATTGGAAGACAAAAGTACTCCTAATTCTAACCAGAGCAAGCTTTTTTATTTTTTATACTGGGAGGGGGGTGGGGAATATTTTATTCAAGGTAAAATTCTAAATAAGATATAATTGTTTTTTATCTTTTCTACGGCAAATTTATAATTTTAAGATTCCTTTTCTTGTTTATCAGCAGTTGTTATTACATCTTTGTGGCACAAGTTTTTTTTTTTTTTAATTTTGTAAAGGTGAAGAACAGCTTTTATGAGCTTGTGTAGCAATCAGATTATCCTGTGGATTGATAATAAATGAATATGATATATAGTTAAATTTTTAATGGGCATCACTCCTGGCTTTGTCTGTTGTCTGCTTTGAAAGAGCATGATTGGGGGACAGGACTGACAAAGTATTCTTTCTTCCTGGAGCCCAAAATTTTTCCCTTGCTGACCACAAGGCACCTTGGAGGTTCCTAGTGTGAGCTGCAAACACGACATCCTCTCCCGGCCTTGACCCCGTGCCAGGCCCAGTGCTAAGTGTTTTACGCGTGTTTTCTTCTGCACTCAGCAGTATGTGCTCCAGAATGGGGATCTGTCTCTGTTTTGTGTGGAGAAAATGAAGACTTAGAGTAAAATCACTTTCACTCAGGATCGGAGAACCCAAGACAGGTGTGACAATGGAGTTTGGTCATTTTTCCTTTTTAGCATATTCATCATCTTAAAATTTATCATTTCTTTATGTTGGGGATGTTCGTTATCAAGAGGGGGTCTTTTAGGCACTGTTGCTCTTTGCTTTGAGCAGATTCCACTCAGCTTCTGTGCTTTCCCTGTCCTCATCCACGGGCTGATACATGAAGATTTCATAGGAGTTTTGTATTTTTATCGCTTACAGGGTACACAGATAAGATATTTGTAGAAAACAGGTAAGGGGCTGGGTGCAGTGGCTCACACCTGTAATCCCAGCACTCTGGGAAGCCGCGGCAGGAAGATTGCTTGAGTTCTGGAGTTCAAGACCAGCCCAAACAAAAGCAAGACTCTCATCTCTACCAAAATTAGAAAAAGTAGCTGGACATGGTGTTGGCACATGTAGTCCCAGCTGTATGGGAGGCTGAGGCAGGAGGATCACTTGAGCCCAGGAGTTTGAGGTTGCTGTGAGCTATGATGCCTCTGCACTCTACCCTGGATGACAAAGTGAGACTCTCTCAAAAAAGAAAAAATGGGGGGGATGGTGCCTGTGGCTCAGTGAGTAGGGCACCAGCCCCATATACCGAGGGTGGCGAGTTCAAACCCAGCCCCGGCCAAACTGCAACCCAAAAAAAAAAAAAATAGCCGGGCATTGTGGCAGGTGCCTGTAATCCCAGTACTTGGGAGGCTGAGGCGTGAGAATCACCTAAACCCAAGAGCTGGAGGTGGCTGTGAGCTGTGATGCCACAGTATTCTACCAATGGCAACAGAGTGAGACTCTGTCTCTGAAAAAAAAAAAGGAAGAAAGAGATACTATTTATTGGGCTCCGATTCCATGTCAATCACTGTTCTTTCTATGACTTGGAGCCTTTGACATAGGCACTTTCCTCAAAACTTAGAGTATGTGTTTTGGAGTAAGATGCGTGACTTCAAGGACACCCATCTCTGTCACCTCTGTGGCACTGCAAGACATAGACCTGACCTTCATAAATCCACTGACCTCACATGCATCCAAGATATCTGTAAAATCAGAATACTAAGCTGGTTACCTGTTACTGGTGGGTTGTGGAGGAGATTGCTAAGTTAATATTTGAAAAGGTGACTTCCACAAAAGGACAAAGGGCTATTTTTATGCCTATCTCCATGTGTGGCTGCAGATGCAATGAGCAGTAATAAAATTATCCAGCCCTAAATAGAAGTCAGCCGAACCGTTTTCCTGGTTTACAGCTGTTGTTGAAATGCCACCCACCGGTGGTGGCCTGGTCCTGTGAGAGAGAGCACCTTTGTTGGCTGTCTCAATTTCTTAGTGGGAAGAAGAGTCCTAAAGAGCTAGGAGATGCTCTGTGCTTTCCAGTTAAGACCTCTTCTTCTCATGGGCGGCTCCTGTGGCTCAGTGAGTGGGGTGCCGGCCCCATATACTGAGGGTGGTGGGGTCAAGCCCAGCCCCAGCCAAATTGCAACAACAACAACAACAAAAAGACCTCTTCTCACAGGTTCCAAATGGATGAGATCCTTTCTTTATGACTTAGATCGGCCGGGTGCGGTGGCTCATGCCTTGTCATCCCAACACTGTGGGAGGCCAAGGCAGGAGGATCCTTTGAGCTCAGGAGTTCCAGACCAGCCTGAACAAGAGCCAGACCCATCTGTACTAAAAATAGAAAAACTAGCTGAGCATGGGGATGGGCGTCTGTAGTCCTGTTACTGGATTTTTGATACTGAATTTCCAGGCTCTTGGTCTCTGCGGTTTGAAGAATGAAGCGACGGACCACAGGATAGGTTTTATTCAACAGGTATAAGTGTTATAGCTCTTATAACAAGCCAAACCTCCTTGTAGAGTAGGATTAGCAGTAAGATAGGTTTTATAATACGAGTGTTACAGCTCTTATAAAGGAGCAAACCTCCTTGTAAGTGTTTACAGCTTTTATAACGGAGCAAACCTTCTTGTGTTTACAGCTCTTAGAAAGGGGCGAACCCCCTTGTGAGTGTTTACAGCTCTTAGAAAGGGGCGAACCCCCTTGTGAGTGTTTACAGCTCTTAGAAAGGGGCGAACCCCCTTGTGAGTGTTTACAGCTCTTATAAAGGGGCAAATCTCATAGAGCAGGATACAAGTGTTACAGAGCCAGACCTCCTTGCTCTATCTCCTGAGATCTGCCCAAGTCTGTGCTCAGGGTCTCTGGCTTATATAGGGGCAGTTGTCCATTGAGCTTTTGGGGCTTGAAAATAGACTAATCGTGAATAGGTTTTGAAAATGGACCAATCAGGGATGC